CAGGGAACAGAACCCAGTTCTCCCATCTGAAAGGCTGATGCTCAGAATCACGTGAGCTGCTACCACTGCCTCCTGGGTGTGCGTGAGCTGGAATCAGGAGCTAGGACTGAACCTGGACTCAAATGCAAGTATTCTGTTTCAGACACCCGCACGTCTGATCCTAGGAGTAGTACCTGCCCCTACAAATCAGGATAGCAAGAAACATTATCACTAACTGAATGTTACTCAAAAATAATACTAATAAAAGAAAACTCCAGTATCCTGTTTCAACATTCCCATAGGCAGTCTCTAAGAAATGGCTCTGTGTTTTGAGGACGAAAGTCCCAACTCCTCCTCTGCAACTCTCGCAGACATTCTCTACGGAGCTTCCTCGGCCATTACGGCCGATAACAGAGCGTTCCTCACAAGACTGCTACGTATAAATGACATAATGAAATAAGGCCTAAATAGAAGCGTTCATATAAATGTAGCAGCCATGGTGGTGGTGAAGCTACTAGTCGTGGCTGTAGTGGAACCACAGGAAAACAGTAACGTAAGGAAGCAGAAGTATTTTCAATCTAGGGTTAGTTAAATCTGCAGATGCAAAACCGGTGACGTGTAGGGATGACAACTTCTGTGCACCCTCCCTGCCATATCACATTCGGAATCTGAGCATCCAGGAATGCTGGAATCCTCAGAGACTCGCAGGGCCAAACGTCCAGAGCTATTGAGCAGTAACAGTGTAGAAATAGTGGTCACAACCATCAATAGCAACAGCTTGTCCCAGGGTCATGGAGACATACCCTTGCAGAGGTCAAGGGCAATCAATGAATGAAATGACCCGGAAGTAAGACAACAGGGAGAGCTGAGGATTACAGAAAACGGGGAGCCAATGCTTCCTTAAATGCATTTGTATTGATTATAGAAATACTGGAGTTCTCGCTGACAACAGACAGCCTTTAGGCAAGTTATAAAATAAATAGATAAAGGTAATCAAGCATAGACATATGATCTCACGGATTGGTGATAATGTGGACTAGCATACTGGTAAGTAAAGTTATGTTGCAGAATGCATCTCTACTCCCAAATAAAAGTAGAACTCCCATTCTGAAGCATTTAAATATTCCTGTACAATACAATACCGAATAGTCTACCTTTATTTATACCTGCCATAGCATGATACATTTAAATAGCAAAAAGTTAACCTTGTAACTGTTACTAAGGGACAATACTATCGTGACAATTTGGGGAATAATAAAGGGAGGAGGAGTGGGGGAGGGAAGAACCTCTCTGCCTACAAAGCTGTATCATGGTAAATAATAAACATTAACAAATAGAAATAGATGATATCAAGGAAAAACAAAACATGCAGCTTAGTCCACAGCATGGATAAACAGTTCACAACATTTAATTCATCAATGCATTTACATCAAAAAACAATGTAGCAGCTACTACAACTTGGAAAGCAATGTTACAAGGATTATTACCATTACGTTTTTCTTTGATGTCTTCCAAATTATAGTTTTGATTTCTTTCCTCATAAAATTCTGTCACTAAGTTTACTAGTACTCTGCAGCCCAGAGTTTGAATCTGTAGGCAAGGTCTCCTGGCCATGGCAGTTTGGCTGGCTCCCTTCCGTAACTCGGTGGCCCTGAAGCTGGTTAGCAAACCTGCTGATACCCATCCCTCACACATCCCCAGGCCCTCGGAGTCAGGCCACCGTGAGAGTCACATCGATGCTGGTGGGCTGGACAAGTTCCAGAGCCTCCGCAGCGGTAACCCTCTCTGTCCTTTCGATCTTAAAGAGGGCTTATAGGTGATGCTGATGAATTGGCTCAAGGGACCATATGTGCTATTTGTGGTTGAAAGCCTGTCACAATTACAGAGCAAAGAGAAAGCTTGACTGTCCTAGGACAGACTGAGAAAAGATGCACCCATTCTTGTAACAGTTTTAGTACAATAAATCAAAAAGGGACACCTGATGTAGATGCTCATTAACAACTACACTTCTTCACGTTCCCACAGGTGCTTACATCTCAGGACCTAAAGATCAAACTCCAGTGAGTTTCATATAGACTTGGTAGTGTAGTTTTACTTCTTTTAACATAAATGATAATAAATAATATAAACAATAAATGATAATAAAATCTAATCTAGAAACAGATTGAGCATGAGATGAACCTTTTCAGAGTGTTAAGATTAATGTGTCAGGGTCAGTCCCTTGGTGTGCAGCAAGTTTAACCACTGCCTTAGATGCCAGTCGTGGCTGCTCCAGGTCTAACCAAATTCCTTACTAAAGTACCTAGAAAACCGGGGAAATGGCTCCAGTAAGTAGGCCCCTCTCACCACAGTGGAAGATCATGATGGAATTCCTGGCTGTTGGCTTCTGCCTGTCACCGGTCGGGGTTGGGGCGAAGAGAATCAACAGACAGGATCAATCGATCAATCCATCAATTGCTCTAACACACACACAGACTGCCTCTTAAGTAAGACATCTTAAAAAAAAAAAGAACAAAAACAAACTAAATGAAAAGCTGCTTCTGTGAAAAAATAAATAAAACTGATAAATGATTAGCCAGAGTAGCCAGAGTGAGAGACAAAAAATGAAGTGCAACAACTGACACTGGGGAAACACAAAGGATCATTAGGAACTATTATCAACCACTAAATGTCTACAAAGCATTACTGAGACAAGTGGGTGCATTTCTGGATATATGTATGTTACCAAAGCTGAGCCATAAGACATAGATAACCCGAGCAAACCAACAATGAGCAGAGAATGAATCTATCAACTCTTTCCCAACAAGAATAAGTCTAAGGTAACATGTCAATATCTACCAAGCTTCTGAGGAAAAACAAACGCTAGCTGCTCTTATGCTTTCAGGAAAACTGAAAGTAAGGAAATCATTGCACACTCTTTTTAAAAGGTCAGCATTACCTGATTCCTGAAAAAAAATGCCGAATATCAATAACCAAGGAAAATGTCACTGTGAGGAAGAAAGCATTTAGCATAGCGACTCACGCATTGAGTCAGACATGACATCCCATATCAGAGTACCACAGTGGGCTCACTTCTCCGGATCTGCACTCTGGGGGCACTGGATGATGTGTTGGTTTCTGTATACAGGCAGGGATTGAGCCCCAGGCTTCTAGCTTTAGCCTGACTTAATCTGCAAACATTTCAAGAGTGAGAGTGAATGAGTGAACTGACTAACTTTGCTCTCTCGCTCTCTACTCCTTTCCCTCATCCCCTAGTATTATTTTTGCCTATTGGTTTATTTATTTATCCACCTTTGATAAATGTGTGAAATCTATCTCTCCTCTGCCAAGCAGCTAGAAATCTCTGTAGGTGTGATTTTATCATTGTTTTCTTAGAAGGCTGGCTGCCACTGGGTAACTCCTGTGCCTGGATAGTTTAGTGCTCAGATGGGAACATAAAATTTATGCTTAGACATCTCAAGGAAAAAATGTTTCTTTTCTTGCATTTGTGGGCATGGGGGAGTACATTCAAAATCCAGTTTTTTCCTTTCCAATCTTAAATGCACAGTGATTCAGAGTTTTATAAATTTGTAGGATATGCCCAGTCTTCATTAAATATGCAGTGGTACCATCAGCAAAAGAATGCACTGGCCCCAAATGCAAGCACAATTTTATGGCGGTAAATCTTGGTTCCTGCCCCGCCCCCTTGGCCAGACCACCACTGCGATTGTCACTCCCAATGAGGAGACGTGCAGTGGGCGTACTCCCGCCTCTTCAGATCAGGCTCAGCAGCCGAGGGCCCTCACATGCTGCGACACACCGACAGACACCACTGCTACCGCTGCTGATCAAACAGTGCGCGAGGACGTCACTGGTCACCGACTTCTCGTCCAGACCCCAATCTGAGCAGCTGCTTAAAGCAGAAACTGGTTTGTGTCCCACTGCTCGTCAAAGCCCGGAGATGGACATGCACTGCATTTTAGCTCATTAGATTCATGATCGCTTTAAGAGGGAAAAGATTTGCCAATCACATCAATGATTCATAACCAGAAGAGAACATTGGTGTGTGTAGAACTTTGTTTTTTCCAAGAACAAAGATGTAAGCATAGCTACGTATCATGTCATTTCAAAGCTACATTTTAACAACAGGCTACGGGGTTATTATCATACATCTGCTAACAATCTTTTACATAATGAGACTCCTCAGATGAACAAATATTAAGTTGGAATCTTAGGCAATAAACATAAGGACAGGATCTCTCAGAAATACACACATTCACGCATTGTCTACACAAGCTTTACTTTGGGAAGGTCTGCTTGTTACATCGGTAATGCTCACAATCTTTGTGGGAAGTTTATGTACAAATATATATTTTTAAATTTTAGAAAAGGGTTCTCAGTATTCCTTTGTATCAGTGGCAATTTATTCCAATGTTAGGAAATTTGCAAGTATTCTTTTTTATAGTCTCTCAAAAAAACCAACTGCGAAGGTGTGGCCATGAATAATGCAGTTAGCCTTTCTAGACCCCTATGCTCTTATCAGAGAACAACACAACTTGAACTTAAGGGTCTTGAGCAGTTGCAAATGTACACAGCTATAGCATACAATGTCATGCCAAGCAACAGTGCTTATGTATCAGAGCCCCACTCGAGTTCCTCACCAATTTGGTGACAAATTTTACAGAATCAAGTTTTTTGCTGGGGCCTCACCATGTCCTGGCGACAAGCAAAGTGGACAAAGTGGATGAAGCGGACAGAGCGCTCTGTGATTCTGAAGCTGAGCTTCTGAGTCATGCCCCTGGCAGGACACGCTGCTGCCCCCGCTGTGAGTGGATATTCACTGGTGGAAGCAACAAGCTCTTTGATACTTGGAAGCCTTGGAACCTGTTCTGTTTTTCGGGGCTGCTATACCAGTATTCATCAACTGCTGGGCACGGCCATTCACTGACTTTCAAAAAGGCCATTCTATAATCACGCTTCCTTCCAGGAAGCAGCATGACAAAGTAGAATTCTAAATTACTGATAGCAGTTCTAGAGAGAACTTACTGTTGGTGAAGAAGCAGGATTAAAAAGACACTAATGATCTGAATCTCAGGCCAATAGTTACTTAGAAAAGTGTACCGAAAGCTAATTTTGCTTTTAATAGTTGGCCACTTAATATGAAGGGAAGAATGGTAAATTGTTCCAGAAAGGTTTATTTTTTGTTTTCAGTTTTAGCTTTAATTGTTATCTAACTGTAAAAAAAATTTACAAGTCCCTATTAAAAGAAACAATTTTGATTTCAAAGTGTTTATTCCTCACAAAATAATTAATAGGAAATTTAACAGTTCTTTTTGAAAACAGCTCATTAGTAGCTAATCCAGCAGAACTATTCAAAATACTTCATAAGAAAAATCTATTTCAAATGTCAAGTTCCCTGAATATTTGTAGATTTTTAACCTACATTAAGATCAGTATTTTGTAATAACTGCTAAAATCCTGACTGTTCATAAACTATCTATTTGTATTTGAACTGCAGAGTGACAGAGCTCTGCCATCAGCTGGTTCACTCCCCCAATGCCCAGGAGAGGTAGGGCTGGGACTCTGGCCACGTCGCCCACGGGGTGGCAAGGATCCAAGCCCTGGAGCCATGGCCTGCCACCTCCCAGCGTGCCCATCTCTAGGTATCCTGCTGAGCAGCCAAGCTGAGCCTTCACCCCAGAATTCCAACAGGAGGTCCCAGTCTCCCGGAGCAGGAGCTTGCCTACTACACCAATGCCAGTTACCAGGAATGTGATAGAATTCTTTCCAAACAGTCCTGTTGATACACAGCAACAGAACAAGCTGCATCTTTTCCATTCTAAAAGCCACATCGTTATTGTTGAGATTATAATCTGATTTGGAAGAGCCAAGTGAAAGACCAGTAGGCTGCAGTGGAAAACATCTGAGCTCTCCTGAAATAGTAACAAGGCTGTTCCCCTGTATGTTTTAGTGCATTTCTGTAATGTGTTGAACTTAGTTTAACAAACTATTTGATCACACATTACGGCTTCAGGTATTAGATTACTTGGCCTCAAACAGTTTCCTGCAGAGCAGCATGTTTCACAGCATCTATAACAACCCAGTGAGTTTCTGCTATATGCTTTTTTTTTTAAGGCACTTTGGATACAAGCAAAATCAGATCCACAAGAAAATCCTTAAAGGAACAAGTATATAATACCAACCACAAAAAAGCAAAATTAACTCCTCCTTTAAAACCCGGTGGTTAAACCGTAAATATAGAGGATACAAACTGATGGTAAGTGTAATCTGAAACAATGTTAAAAGCACCCACTTATGCCCTTAGGTTGTAGTCAGTGGTCACGGCTCACAAAGTAAGGACTATCAGGTCAAAGGGTGAGTTCAGGAAGAAATTCTCAATCTTCTACCCCAAATACACGGTAATATTACACCAAGAACAAGACAGATACAGCTGTGCTTAAACAAAAACAACAAAGAAAGATTTTATCTCAGGGACTAAAATTGCTTCTTTTCTTTGTCAAAGAATCAATCGTGGGAGCTGATAAACTGTAAGGGAGCCCACTGTGCCACTTAAGATATGCCACCCCTACACCTAAAACTGCATATTCTAATTTGTAGTTCAGTGTCAAGCACATCAGAGTTGAGATTTGCTTTTTCTCTCAGCAAGCATCAGTCTCCTGAGTATTCCTGAGTCACAAAGAGGTTAAGTGAAACTGCTAATAAAAATGCTCTCCAAAGTGGACACAAAAATCTTGCCAAATTCAAGTTCAATGGAAAAAAAAATTAGAAAGAGATACCTTCAGATCAAATATGTAATTAAGCAGAGACAAGTCAAAGAAAATATAGGAAAATGTAGATTGAATAATCATTTTTGAAGAAATTTTGTCAAAGTTAAAACCAGCACAATTCTAGCGTATAATTTTCTTTACATAGACCTAACACATGCAGGACCACATTCCTATAGAGTCACATTTAACCACATATTTTCTCTTCAACAAATAATTTTCATTTACTTCAAAGGTTGGTGAGATTCTGGAAGAGGAACAAAATCAAAGGTCATTTTATTCAATTCAAAACCTGGAAGCTTCAATTGGAACAAATACAGATTCGCTTTGTAAGCTTTTGATCACATTTGATCACTAAAGAATGACTTCATTTTAAATGGAATACTAATGTAAAACAAGCCCAATCTCCAAATGAAAAGAAATTTAATTCCCATGTACAAATGCATGAGAGTGTGTGAGCCAATTCTGAACTGATTAGAACCAGATTAATCAATCCGATAATTGAATCAGCAGCTGCGAGTCTCCACGACTGCAGTTAGATACCTTCCCTGGTCCCTGTTCAGTCATTCACCTGCTCTGTTCCCACTTAATGAACGCCATCACATGCCCACTGGGTCCCGCGCTATCTGCCCAGTGCTCCAATAATCCTGTCTGCTGCTCGATGCTTTCAGTTCCCTCTTTATTCACTCCCACCAGTGTACAAACACACTTGTGTTAGCTTTTACCCAACACCCAAAAGCAGTCTTCTTTATTCTACTTCCAAATCTGTTGCCTACCCTACTATCTTTGCTTTTTAAAAACTTTTTTAAACAGTGAAACCTATTCAAGACACTGCCTGTTTGCTGTCTCATCTCCAATGTCTATATTTTCACTTCTTCCCCATCTTCCGTTTTCTCCTATGCTCCTCCATCTCACCTAAAACTGCACCTTAAGATTCCCAAAGAGGTTTGTATTGTTCGTTCAGTACACAGTTCACGGGTCTCCTCTTCCTTGCCCCAGTAGCTGTGCTGCAGTACAGCAGATCACTGCCTATTTCTTTTTTTTTTTTTAAGATTTATTCATTTTTATTGAAAAATCAGTTATACAGAAAGGAGGAGAGACAGAGAGGAAGATCATCCGTCCGATGGTTCACTCCCTAAGTGACCACAACACCTGGAGCTGAGCCAATCCGAAGCCAGGAGTCAGGAGCTCTTCTGGGTCTCCTGCATGGATGCAGGGTCCCAAGGCTTTGGGCCATCCTGGACTGCTTTCCCAGGCCACAAGCAGGGAGCTGGATGGGAAGTGGAGCTGCCGGGATTAGAACTGGCGCCCATATGGGATCCCGGGTGTGCAAGGCGATCACTTTAACCACTATGCTGTTGCGCAAGGTCCAATCACTGCCTATTTCTTGAAATCCTCTCCTCAGTTGGCTGCCAAGATGCCACACTTACAGTCCAGCCCTGCAACACCTGGCTGCTCCAACATCACATTCTGCTTCCTGTTAGCACTTCCAGACTCTGCCCATTGCTCATCACCTTCACAACCACCCTGGCTTAACACACTCTCGTGCTTCACCAGACTACTGCCCCCGCCTTCATCCAGCCCACCTTCCAATGTGTCACCTGATAGTGTATTTTCAACACATCAGCCAGACAAATCCTGTTAAAACTGTCCCTTGACTGTTGCAAATCTTCCAACAGCTTCCAACCTGACTCACAGCAAAAGCTGAAGTCCTTTAAAATATCTTTCCAGACGCTTCAGGTCATGTGGCCCCACCAAGTCTGTTTCATCGCCTCCTCCAACTTGCATCTTCCCACCTCACCCACACTGCGCAGTGTGCTTGGACAACAGGGCCTCTGTTCTTAATGATTTCTGTGCACGGCATGCTTGTTTGTTTGTTTTGCTTTTTTTTTCTTGCCTTTTAACTGAAGCGTTTTTGTACCACAGCTATAAGTAAATTTTTAAAAATAAGTGGCTCAAACATTTATCTTTGATAACAATGAGTTCAGATCAGAAACATCCAACAATAGCATTAGTTCATGGGCTCCTGTTTCTACTGCTGCTGGGGGATCTATAAAACTCTGGGAAAACAACCCACTGGGTAAACACCTGCTGGATACTCGATCTGAGGGATGGAGAAGGACTCGGGTGCTTTTTACTGGACGGCATTTCCCCTTCTCCGCTGCAGCCCCTTTCCTGATGAATGCAAGGCTTCAACCTCAGAAGCAACTACTGCTTTCCTGAAAACTCTATTTTGGTGCTCCAACACAGGGTGCAGGTACACATGATCGCAAATGTTAGAGGCGACCAGCTTTGAATTGGAGATATTTCATACAAAGCCAAGGCTTCTACAAGACTTAGGTATCCTTGTTTAAATAATAGTACACCCTGGTGTATGTATAGATGTGATTGTTGTGGTATTGCAACTTTAAGATTTGAGAATAAAACAATGTTGTATCTTTTACATCACCGTTTCTTATCACTAGAACAGGTCCATCTGAGTTACTCCACAAAGGAAAGGAGTCAAGGACAGCTCACCTGCAGCCACAGAGGGACCGGCCAGGTCCTCACACTCCTCATCGGTGCTTGCATCATAGACTGCATCTCCATCAGCAATCGCCTCAGAACAAGCTGCGGTCTCACTACAGATGGGGAAATGGAAAGCAAGAACCATCACCAGCTCGCCTCTGGTTAGGTATCAGCACTCCCCAGGCCAGCAGTGCAGTGCAAGGCCTTACGCCACTGCCTACAACTCTGGCATATCACATGATTGCCTATTTCACTTCTGATTCAGCTCTTGCCAATGAGCCTGGGAAAGCAGCAGAATGCGGCCCAAGTGCCAGGACTCCTGTCACACATGTGGGAGACCAGATGCAGTTTCAGGCTTCTGGCGTTGACATGGCCCAGCAAAGGAGCTTACAGCGACTTGAGGCTCAGACCAGTACCGTGAGCATCAATGTGTCTGTAACTCTGCCTTTCAAATAAAGAAATAATTTTTTAAATGCCCAAGGAGGGTATTCTAAATAGAAAATATATACTGAAATATATACAATCTGAATGAATACACTTTGAAGAGTGTATATTAACTATGAATACCAATTATCTGTTATGTAATAATCTGAAGCTTGTCCAGAGTTAAATATAATTAACTTTCCAATTAGGTCATTAGCAGCATTCCTTCTTCTATCAAAATATTATTATGCAAAATTTTCCCCATGGATTGGTCACAAAGCATTTGGAGTTTTGCTAACACCAATGAAATTCTGTACTTCATGTGGTCTCCCTAGAAGACTGAGGAGGCTTCCATCACCCTAATCATTAGAAGAAAAAGCAGAGTATAAGGCTTGCCAAAGCCATTGGCTAATACCAGCCTCTGAGCTAGAACCAGCTTGCACCAAATGTCAGTTTTACATATATATATTTTGCCACGGGTACACACGTGCTTCCTCACAGATTCAAAGCCATAGACTGCTAGCGCCTAAGAAAGTGTCAACCAACCAGGTTCACCCGTTGCTCCTTCGCATGTAAAGTCAGCAACACAATTCTAAAGTTAATCACTGCTCAGTTATCAGTATAACAAATGTGTGCTCAAGTGGGCAGTTTCAGGTAAAAAAAATTTTTTTAAATAATGTTTTTCCTACTCTGTGATGCCTGAGATTTGTTTTCTTAAAGATTTATTTAATTTTCTTTATTACTAGACAGGCAGCTATACAGATAGAAGGGAAGACGGAAGGAAAGATCTTCCGTCTGATGATTCACTCCCCAAGTGGCCACAAAGGCTGGTATTGAGCCAATCCGAAGACAGGAGCCAGGAGCCAGGAGCTTCTGCCGGGTCTCCTACACTGGTGTAAGGTCCCAAGGCTTTGAGTCTTCCTGTATTGCTTTCCCAGGCCACAACCAGGGAGCTGGATGGGAAGTGAGCAGCCAGGATATGACCCAGCGCTCACATGGGATCCTCGGGTATCCAAGGTCAGAATTTAGCTACTAGGCTATTGTGCTGGGCCAGATGTCTGAGAATTAACAAATACTATAAAGCGAAGCTTCCTGCTAGTTTTATTATTTAAGCGTAGAGCAGACAGTGGGCAGACACAGAGTAATGGTATTGGGATTTCTTTAGTGCTGGCATCTCTAACAGATGGAGCATTCCACCACAGACTATCAAATGAACTGATATGATTAAAAAGTTGGCACCTAAATGCATGGAAAAGAGTTCTGCTTAAATTCATGCATCTGTTATCCAAAAGGCTAAACACCAACCTTACACGTTCAGAGTTCTTCTCTAATTCTTGAACTTCACTTAACAATTTATGTAGACTTCTGATCTTGGCTTTCTTCTCATTCAGTACCAGTACAAACCGTTTATACAGATCAGTCTCCAAAGCTTCCTTAACACTCACACATTTTTCAAATCTAAAAAATAAACAAATCACACAGTTTTTCTTAGTTGTCTTACTATATAATCTGATACTTAAGATTTCAAGAAAAGTTTCTATAATTAGTTAAAAACCACTTGTTCACATGCTTTCATTGCCTTAAAAGTTTTGCAAAAATAATTAAGTAATTACAGGTTCCTGGCTATTAATGTTAACCATTTAGGTACAGAGATAAAGATCAAAACTAAATATTGCTACAAATAAAGTATTAAACCATCTAAATGCCTACATGTAATCATTTAGTCACATCTATGGCTTAGTTATAGAAGAGTGCTCTAGGGGATAAAGTTCAGGTGTGTAAAAGCAACTGGTTTCCACAAGGTTTTTCAATATTATCATGCTAATAACCATAATCTTATTCTGTGATAAAGTCATTGGCTGACCTGCCTTTTTAGATTAAGCCCAACCTTGCAACAAGAGCAGGATTTATTCATTATAAACCCTAATAACCACACAGCATTCAAACAAAAATACACATCAGACACAAACGTGCATGTGGGCATAAGTGAATGTATCCTATTGGATGTTTCTAAAGAGTCAATAATGGAATGAATGGAACACCGTATCTTCAATTTAAATATACAAAAACAAAAATTTCTATCATTGACAATTCTTCCTACAGTGTTCAAATGAACAACAGTTGCCATGTAAGATATCTATAAGGCAGAGAAAGCAAAGCAGTGTACGTTACACATACCTGATAAATGCCAATGCACACCATTAATAAACACCTATTAATTCAAATGATTCCATGCATTCTTTTAAACAGAATCTAGTTTTGTTCAGATTTCTCTTTGCCATACTATTTATATCTGCTGTTCCATATAATTACTCTAATATTTCATACCATACATACAATGCTTACAGAGCAGTAGCAATACATAAATGTTAAATGTATATACACACATTATTTCAACAATTACAAAGAAAATGGTTGAGATTGGATAGCTTTCTTATATACATAGGATCACCTATTTCCAACCACTCTCCTAGCTAGAGAGGTAGAAAATTCAAGCTTTTCATAGGAGAAAAAGGAACATAGGGCAACATACTTTCTGGAACTAATTTGAGCCAATCCTTAGGCTATCATCTTCGGCATGACTGTGAACTGTGTGAGAGCAGGAAGCATATGTGTTTCACAGGCTGTTGGAGCCTCGGTGCCTAGCCTAGCATCTGGCACTCTAGAAAAGGCAATGAGTGAATATGAGTATCTTTTTCTTATTTTCCCAGCTTCATTGCTGATTTATTACAAATCCCTAGTAGTGCTTTCATTTCTTTCCCGTATTCTGTTCTATAGCTTTGCCAGCCCTTTCTGCCCAGATGCCAATAGCCAGGCCTGAGTGGGGCACAGGGAAGGCCTCCTCGGTGACCATTCTGGCTCTTCTTCCTGCAGACATCCCATATGGTTCCTAATGCTGCCATCAGCTGGGGGCCAAGTTGAGACCATAGCACAGCTGTCCTCTTTCCTCAGGCCACAGAATACCGAGGATAACGACTTGGAAGGGGGTGCCCTTCAGCTCCTGAACACTGGCCTACATGGACTCAGTGGGCTGTTGGGTGTCCTGGGGATCACAGACACTGACTGTCCTCTGGCAACCCCTAACTCTTGCAAGCTGAAGTCCAAGGTGGCTGTTCCTTGGGTGTGAGGTCCTATTGTGAAGCATCTTACAATGGGCCAGACAGGCCCAGACTGAGGGTATGGCTAACACCATGTGTCTCCACTGGTAGGCCTTGTCGCGGTCCCTTCTGGTCAGCTGGCTGAGCCATGAGGTTGTAGATAGCTGCCAGCCGCTGTGGAAATGCAGCTCAGGGACTGGGCAATCACAGCTCTCTTCTAAAAGAGCATGGCTGGGGAGGAGGGTTCATGTCTATGACGTTACAAGAATAGGGACACTAGGAATTCTTACTGTTACACAGCTATTCACCACTTTTTAAATGTTCAGCTCTAAAAAAAAAAAGTGGTGAACAATATTAATCTAACAGTACTCCCTACCCAAGAAAGCTGAGAAAAAAAATATATATACAGAAGATGGGAGTAGGGGAAGAAAGAGCCTGAGAAGAGGGACCAATCTTGGTAGCTTATTTTAAAAAGAATAAGGTTTCTGCACTCTTGCGTGTTTTGTAATACAATAGTGATGAGTACACAACACTACATAATACTAGTACACACATTTTAAAATACTCAAACATCTGAAAAATAAAGCAGCAGTATAGAAGATGAGCATCTGGCATCGCAGCTAACTGCTTATTTACGATGCCTGTATGCCACATGATTCTCTCTCTGGGTTCAAGTCCCAGTTCTGTTCTTGATGCTGAGATGAACCTTGAGAAGTGGCGAGTAACAGTCCACTCACTTGGGTCCCTGTCACTCAAACAGACATAAAATTGGATTCACAGTTCCTGGCCTTATGCGGATTTCAATCCTGCTAGTACAGGCACTTGGGACGTAAATCAAATAGTTATCTGCCTGCTTTTCTATCTTTTAAACGAACATTTTTTAAAATTAAAACCACATGTGAAAATATACAACAAGAATTGTGGTTAATGTTACAATTTCCTATATAAAACTTTAGGAATAGTAACACATTCTTAATTTATCTAACTTGAATTTGCACTGGAGTTTGAAACAAATCAAATAGAAAGGCTAATTGTAATATTTATGATCTTTCAAGCTAATTCTCATATGTGTATTAAAATTAATAATTGGTTTAATCCACTGAATACAATAATAAACACTAAATGAAATGTACTAAAAGATAGTGTTAAATACGCAGTATCAGAACTGCACTGTTACGAAACACACGGGGAAAAGTCCGAAGACACAAGAGTTGCCTGTGAATTCCCCCTGCTAATTCTGACAAAGCTTCGAGATTTTATTGCACCCAATCTTCCATCACTGCTGGAAAATACTTCCTAGAAAAGCTGGGGAGTAGGGACTGATGTTACTATTACTAAAATTCTTTTAAAATGAAAGTCTTGAATGCTCTCGTCTACCAGTTCATTGCCAGCATGCCCGCACTGCCCAGGGATAGGACCTGGGGACTCAATTTCCCATGTGAGGCGGGCACTTAGCCACTGGCGTCACACATGTGGTCCCACCACCTGCAGCCACCTGCAGCAATGGGAAGTTGAAAGTAGCAGTATGAGCTATGCAAGAAGTGACTGCACATGCTAACCTCTGACCCACATGCCTACTTCCGGAGTACTATTATTTTATTTACTGAAAGAATTACAGAGACAGACAAAGCCCAAGATACAGGCTTTCCATTTATCACTTCACTCCCTCCATGGTCTCAACAGGCAGGGTGGAGCCAGGCCAAAGCCAGGAGCCAGGGGTGTTTTCCAGCTTTCCCATGTGCGTTATCAGGGAGCTGGGTCGGAAATGGAGCAACAGGAGCTCAAGTTGGCACCAATGCATCATGCTAGTGTAACAGGCCGTGGCCTTTCCAGAATGTTACAGGCCTTCCCAGAATATTATCAAAAACAGCTGTAAGACAGGAAATGCAATCCTTTTGTTCAATCTTTTGTAACTAAGAGGTATATAGCCTCCTCTAGAACCTCAGTTTTTAAAATTCTATTTTTATTTTTATTTCAAGAGAAGATTTCATAGGGAGAAGGAGAGACAGAGTGGGCTTCCATCTGCTGGTTCACCCCTGAAATGGCCACAGTGGCCAGAGCTGAGCCTATCTGAAGGCAGGAGCCAGGAACTTCTTCCTGGCCTCCCAACTCGGTGCAGAGGCACAAGGTTTTGAGCCCTGCTCTGCTGCTTTCCCAGGCCATAATCAGAAAATGGTTTGGAAACAGCGCAGCCAGGACATGAACTAGTGCCCACATGGGATGTCAGTGCTAGCAGGTGGAGGATTAGCATACAACACTACTGCAACATTCCCCAGGACTTCCATTTTAAAACCAATCATCTCCTACCTTCTCATGTTAGCATGTGTTGCACAGGTCTTGCCTCCTACCAAGACCTGTCTTAAGAACTACACACGACTTAGTAGGTAAAACCACTCGGGACACAAAACCACGGGATCCCTAACAAAATGTTAGGGAAGACTCACATGCAGCTGGAGCAGACCACACTTGGGCCAAGGATCATCTCAAGGCAGAGCTCAAAATGCAGCAGACCATCAACAACCTCAAGCAGGGAAGGCCTGATGGCCCTACACCAGTGACTAGGACAACTGGACAATAATGCTGTTTTACTAGGAACCTAGTGTCCAGTTAGCTAATTGCCTGGACTAAATGTGTGTGTGTGTGTGTATAACATATAATAATAAATGGATTCAAAACTAATAGTATAAAAATATTGAGCATTCAAAATGAAATGTTTTGGCTTGGAAAATTATCTGAGAATAATATGTTCAAAGCAATAACAAAAAATAAGAGTGAAATGAAAGCAATTTCATGCAAAAAAAAAAAAGAGAGAGAGAAAGAAACAAAGTCCCAAAACAAACAGTGCACACATAGTGTAGAAGCACTTATATTGAGACAGTTTGGGCCAAATTTAAATATGCATTAGCACTGTGCAGCAAAAGAAAATCTGAATAGAGCAGAGAGGACAAAGAAAACAATACTGTCCTGGAAAACCAGCAAGCTGTGGACTAGAGACTTAATAAGCCTTGGAGAACTGAGGAAGATGGTGAACAGCTGTTGCTCCTGCTTTCTGCCGCCAGAACAAGAGGAAATGGCCTTCAACTGTGCCGTGAAGGACTCAGATAACCACCAGCGGGAGGAGGGTTTCTGGCTGAGACTGTCTAAGCCCTGGAACGGGCTTCCAGCACGAGAGGCCGGTATCTCTTGAGGTCTTAAAAAGAGTCAGACTTAATTCATCTGCAGATAATGTGACCCTAACTTGAAGGCAAAGAGACCACAGAGAAAAGCTTCCAAGGTCTTCTATTCTAATGATTCCATGAGTGTCAACCCAATTCACTGAAAACTGCCTCCAATTATGGGTTTAATAACTATAACTCAGAATGAAGCCAAAGGATTTCAAAATTGAGGTCGGAGTGCAAACAAAAGATCTATTCAGCAACATGCAACTTGAGAACTGTTATTTGAAATTAAGTAGGAAAAGCCAGTGAGATGTATATAGCTCATAACCTAAAGGCTTCAAATAGAACTTTTAAGATATTTTCACCTTTATATAAACTACAAAAACTACTTTAATAGAGTAATACTATTTATTCAAAATGGATCCAGGACTATAATTACTAAACAACAGCATACACACACACACACACACACACTCATATCATTTATACAATCAAGTTCATTCCTTTAATTCATACTGGGATTCCAAATCCCTCATGCAAGCCCTGCTGATGCTCTGCTGTAATTTTAAAGGGATAAAGATTTATAATTGGCCCTGATCCTGGAAGTGACCCAAAAATACCAAAATATATAAAAATTTAATCCTTGATTCCAGAATATACTATTTGCATTTAGTTTTCCCTTCTAGTCTGTATATAAGTACATATTTTATTCATATTTATGGTAACACACATGTCCTCATAATATATCTTCATGTTAATGATCACAGGTGTGCAAGATTGCTTTTTCTCCTCTAATGATCTATTACATATTAAAACTGGAGGGTAATGAAAAAAGTTTGTGGAAAAAATGAAACTAAAGGATGCTTATGTCGGTGGAAAAATATTTTAAATCCATGTATATGAAGGGTCTTCCCAAAAGTTCATGGAAAACAGATTATGTCAAAAACACAAATGAATTTCAATTATCCTTAAAGCAAAAAGGGGGTAATAAAATAGAGGTAGCTTTCTATTTCATTTTCCATGAACCTTTTGAGTTCCCTTGAAGAGCTGAGAGCCACCTGCCACAATGTGGAACAACTGCTGCTGCTTGCCCTACAGTCTGGAAAAGTGACAAGGAAGACATGACTGCTCCAAGGACGGACACCGACTGCCCTGCCCGCTGGACGGTGGCTGGACCCACTGTCAGGCCCTCAGTGTGACGACTCTGGGCTCACAGCTCCCAAGTCTCTATCCTGTGAAGTCCCGTTCGAATGCTACCCACTCCAGACTCTCTTGCTGCCTTTTGGAAGCTGCAGTTTACAACCTCTGCTCTGTTTTCCATATCCTAAGGCTCTGCTGATGGCACAAAGACAGTGAGGCTCAGCCATAACCAAGACGTACAGGTGTCTACAACCCCCAATATATACACTTGCTCCTCTCTTAGGGCAGTACACCAATTCTGAGAAATCCATAGTGCTCCTAAGCTTCCATCTGGTACACAACAAAGCCCCCACACACCTCTGGAGGAGATGCTCTTTGTCTCAGTTCTCTGGGACACCCTCAAGGCATACAGTGAGTCTTGAAGATGTCTGATCCAGTCTCAAACAATAAAATAATAGAACAGCCAGAATGAACCAGATCAGGCAGGTGACAGGATACAAGACTGTGCTTTTGGTCACACGGGAAATCTATTACCACAACAACAAAAAAGCACTTTCTGGAAAGTTCAGGAATCGCCAATCAGGCATCTGTGCACCAAAGATTGTACGTGCTCCTCACATACACTGTCTTCCGGCACTGCCTACATTCGACCCTATTGCCTTGTCTTCACTCCCTGCTGCTTCCAATTCTGTGGGAGTGGTGGCGAATACTGATGAGACAATACCTCTGTCAACCTCTGGCAGACATTTCACAGCAATCTGTCCAAGTACCAAGTACCCAGTCTGCATTTTTGTGGGCAATTTGACGATCAGGTTTCCTATCATCCTGAGGGCATTTTGAGTTTTAAATATAATGACTTGCTATGATCATAGTACGTCTCCTTGAATTTGATTTATTTTATATGAAAACAGAAAAAAAAAATATTCCGAACGGCAGAGGTTCAAAAAATGTTTGCAACACAGATATCTGATATTGATTCATACCCAAATGAATAAAACAGAAGCTAAAGAGAAAAACTGAATTACTTTTCTGTATGATTTCCTAATACAGAAACTTTGGTGATTTATGTTACTTACATGTAATTATATGCGAATATAATTGCTAATAAAAATCAATTCAGACTAAAAGAGTATATGACAAATATTTTCTTAATAACAGAGAACCAATTACAGCCAGGTATGAATAGCTTAATTTCACATATCTTACATGAATTAATGTACACAAAACCTGCTTTCTGTTAATGACACACATGTTCACATACACGTATGAACAATGAATCTCCTATAGATTTGTCAAAGACTCCCCTATCTACTTAGATGTCCACTAGAACAATCACAACGATTATTCTCAAAAGATCCTAGAGAGAAAATGTTGTTAAGCTTTAGAGTTCCTTGCATGAATGTGAAAGATAAAACCACTGGATGTAACAATATTTCTAAGAATTATATATTCTGGGGAGGTTGGTGTGCTGGCTCAGCTAACTAATCATCCATTTCCAAGTACCAGCATCCCATATGGGCACCGGCTCATGCCCCAGCTGTTCCGCTTCCCATCCTGCTTCCTGTTTAAGGCCTGGGAAAGCAGAGGAGGAAGGCGCAAAATGTTGGGAATCTGTACCTACGTGGGAGAGCTGCAAGGAGTTCCTGGCTTCTGACATCAGATTAGCTCAACTGCGGCCATTGTGGTCACTTGGGGAGTGAACAGCAGATGGAAAATCTTTCTCCTTTTCTCCATCTCTCTGTAAATCTGCTTTTCCAATGAAAAATCAAAAAAATTTTTTAAAAGAATTATTATATATTTCACATAATTATTTTAGACATTTCTATCCATAATTTACCTAACTAGAAACAAACTGGACTTACAGAATTGTGCATGTTCCTCTGAGGACATAATGTTCACAATAAATATTTTGTTTATTTCAAACATTTTTCAAAAAGATTTATTTACTCTTACTGGAAAGTCAGATTTGCAGAGAGAAGGAGAGACAGAGACAAAGATCTCTCATTCTCTGGTTCACTCCCAAATTGGCTGCAATGGCCGAAGCCAGAAACGAGGAGCTTCTTCTGGGTCTTCCACATGGGCATAGGTTCCCAAGTCCTTGGGCCATCCTCCACTACCCTCCCAGGCCACAGCAGGGAGCTGGATGGGAAGTGGAGCAGCCGGGACATGGACCGGTACCCGTATGGAACTCCAGTGTTTGCAACGTGAGAATTCAGTCACAAGGCATTACACCAGGCCCTGCTTTAAACATGTTCTACCTAATATAGTACTACAAGTTACACAGTGATGAATCCTAAATTATTATTTAGTTAAGCAACTTCATAACTGAAATGATAAATTACTTTATTCTTCATTTAAAAAGAAATAGATGAGGCAACTCCAGAAAAATAAAAGGTTTCCCAATGTCTTACACAGTAGCCACTTACTTCATTTTTTAAAAATGCTTCTGGCACTAACTTCCAATCAATCATGATAAGCAAGTTTCCATTAGGAGCCAAAACACATTCAAAACAACTGCCATTCACTGACTCCAAACAAGAGCACCAATGCATTTACTTGTATTTCAAATAGTTTTCATTCATTATTACTTCTACAATTGGGGGTTGAATTGATTTTTCTTCAAACAGCCACTACCCAAATTCTTTATCAATATTACAATAACAGATTCTGATCATCAATGCCCAATGACTCCTTATTGTTTATACCTTTGCAGGTACCACGCACTGCTAATAACCTACAAAGTGTTCACACACTCCCTTCTGCACACTATAGACTACAATATGATTTAATCACATTAGAGGAAGGAACATTCAGGACTGTTTTATTGTGCACGTTAGTCTACGTGTATTGTAACTTTACAGTCCATCAGCTTGGGTCTGTTGGAAGCAAGCGCAGTGCATTTGTAACGGAAGCAAACTGTATACACACCGTTCTTGAACATCATTCCAATCTCTTAGAAGCCTTTCATTCTCTTTCTGCAAGTGCTCATTTTTGGCTTGGTTTTCAGCAATTGAGTCCAGGCAGAAACAAATAAGTTCTCTAATGACCTCAGAGGGGCTTGCAACTTTCTCCAGGTTGAAGGAACCAAGTCTGAACTAAAATGAAAGGAAAACATGGTTAGGTTGTACTTTTAAATATCGTCAGTTTCTTGTGAGAAGAAGTGTGTAAGGTTGAACCGTAACAGATTTTCTAGGTGCAATTATGCATTAAACAATTAGCAGCATCATGGTGCCTGTGTCCTGCTTAGATGGGACGATGGATATAGCAATATTATTTCTGGTTTGTGTGCTATCAGGAGTTCCAGGAGAGGTGAGGCTTGGCAGTTGTGGAATGTGGGCAGAGAAGCCAGGGTATAACTGCTTTAGATACTAAAAAAAGAAAGTCTTGCATTTGTATATATATATATATTTTAAGCCTAAGAATTTACAAGGTGAATTTAATCCTTCATTTGTTTTACCTCTTTTTGTTTCTTAACAAAAGAAGCGGAACCAGATAAGGAAATACTTTCCTTTACTTAAAGGAATACTTCATATATATATATTTACATTGAATTAAACAGTTTAATAAGCAATGTTTAACCAAAAAGACTTTAAAAAATTTTGAAGACATTTATTCAGCTGAGATTGCTCTAGGCAATTTGTCACGTCTGATTTAATTCTCCTGAGCCTAGACTGAAATGGCCAAAACCATTTGCAATTTTCTTGGATAGCAAAATCCGTGTTCATTTATCAGGCACGTATATTTAAACAACCAAGTTTTAGGTCCATAAAGAAAAACATACTCAAAATACTGCATTCATCTTTTGAAGCCTTATGAACATAAAAACACACAGAGTTAAAGACAAAAAGTCTCCTGGAGAATATGGCTCTTTTGAATGAATACAAAGCAAGATGAAAATTTGGCTCCTTTTCTTTTTAGATAATAGATAGCATTATCAACAAAACATACGCCCACCAATAGATCTCATATTCTTTCATTATCACAATTGTCAGGCAGTTTTTACAAGGAATATTTTTAGGGAAAAAACGGGGGCGGTTTTCGTTATCTGAATATTTTAAAATGCCAAAGGGATACAGAATTCATGCCATACTTTCGTCTTGAACACAATGAGCAGTAAAATAAAAAGGCTCCTACACTTGTATCTTAGATGACAAAGGAAGAAGCAGTTAATTCCAAAATGGTCCCTTTCAAATTTTTACTAGAATAGTTATTCAAAATTTTAAAAAGAGGACTCTTTTTCAAAAAGCTAATTCAGCATAAAATAAAATGGTATTTCTTCTTAAAAACAGGCAGCTATATTTTGATATTGATTCTCTTATCTGCCAGTTTTTAGATATTTAACAGGTATAAGTCTCTACTGTTAAAAGCATGAGCTGTAAGATACTTAAAAGATGTTCAACTTCACTAATAAACTGCAAAATAATCACAAAATCATCACAATGACAGAGAATATAACTCCTATCAGTTTCTTAGACAAACATTTCAAAAAATAGAAAAAAAAAAAAAAAACCAGTAGTACCCAGAAACTCAATCCAAAAAAAGGAGTTTACTTGAAACATTCCAATTAATTTTTTTCTTCTTGAATTTGTGAGTGAGTGACTGTTGTGCCTGTTCAAAGGTAGTGTGGGACCAGGGCTGGGTCAACACTCTCCCCTTCAGAGCTGCTGCGCCCCGCCCACAGATCACAGAGGCAAGAGCAGGATCAGAAACTATTTGTGAGGTCTACTTCTGTGTCTGGCCTGTCCTTACAGTGCCCTTAGCAAAGCACACACGGCAACTTGGCAAGGGCAGATCTACAGAGAGAAGGAGAGACAGAGACAAAGATCTCTCATCCATTGGTTCAATCCCCAAGTGGCCATAAAGGCAGGAACTGAGCTGACTCAAAGCCAGGAGCCAGGAGGTTCTTCTGGGTCTCCCATGTTGATACACAGTCCCAAGGCTTTGGGCCATCCTCTACAGCTTTCCCAGGCCCATGAGTGGGGAGCTGGACGTTAACTGGAGCAACCGGGACATGAACTGGTGGCCAGACGGAATCCTGGCACTTGCAAGGTGAGATTTTAGCCACTGAGCTATAGACTGGGTTCAAGGATATTCTCTTTTCTTTCTTTTTTTTTTTTTAAGATTTATTTATTTTTACTGCAAAGTCAGATATACAGAAAGGAGGAGAGACAGAGAGAAAGATCTTCCATCCAATGATTCACTCCCTAAATGACCGCAATGGCTGGAGCTGAGCCAATCCAAAGCCAGGATCCAGGAACTTCTCCCAGGTCTCCAACATGGGTGCAGGGTCCCAAGGCTTTGGGCCGTCCTCGACTGCTTTCCAGGACCACAAGCAGGGAGCTGGATGAGAAGCAGGGCAGCCTGAATCAGAACCGGTGACCATATGGGATCCCGGTGCATTCAAGGCGATGACTTTAGCTGCTAGGCCACTGCACTGGGCCCTCAAGGATATTTCTTAAGTGGCCAAATGTACACAAATGTTATATTGTATTATTGCATAGCTGTTCTGTATTTATTACTTCGGTCATTTCAAAACAACCTACGTGACTTTAAATAATAGAGCAGTGGCAGAAACCACAAGATTTTCTTTTTTTCGGGATCTAAAACAATGACGGAGCAATGACAGAGCTCCATCCATAAGACTGCTAACCTCACACACCCAGTTACAATGTTTTCTTGCAGAAATTTCTCAGAGATCACAAGAAAATGTTTATACACCTCAGGCAAGGTTCTGAATAGTTTAGATACGTAGATTCTTAAAAACAAAAGGTAATAATAGCCTAGGATTAAAAATTCTCCTAAATTACCATTGTAATACTACAAATGAACAGCATTTTAAGGCCATGTTACAGACCTTCATATTTGAAGCGTCATCTAAGTAGTACCTAAAATTATTACTTGAATACCATGTGTCAATTTCCTCTGCTTCATAAAAGCCCCAGGAGTGTAGACATATTTTCTTTCTCACAGTGGTTTCCTCCGCCTTGCACTATTATGAACAATTACTACTTTTCCCCATTACTAAGCATGAAGGTGCAAAGAATGTGCCTCATTCGTACGTGATGAAATAGGATGCATCTATTCATTCACAATATTATTTTAGGAAGTTCGTGAAAAAAAATGGATTCAAAAGTTTAGTGGGCCAATAACGTGGAGCAAACAATTTTAAACCATGTATGAAAGATGCCGCAGGCCGGATGCTCCAGTTTTGCACAGAAGATGTGGGGTAGTATTTGCATAAACTTTATGCAAGTCACCCAGATTCCTTCAATCATCTTTAGATTACATACATTTAACACAGTATATTGCTGTGCAAATATTTGTATGCTGGGTTGTGTCTGGAATACCCACACACACACACACACACACACACACACAAACTTTTGTGCAGAGGTTCAGTTTATATTCAGTGTTTTTTTCCAAGTACTTTGAATCAAGGATTCTTTGAACTTGAATTCAGTGATGTGAAACTCATGGATGTGAGAACCCAGTGTAATAGGTATTTTTCTCCATCCAGAACCATTAGGCTTTTGATAAAAATCAAATGTTGTTTTTAAGACCTTTTGTGAAGTCCCTATTGCTTACTTTCAAATTAGACTGCTTGTACTGTAGCTGAGTACATTATCCATCACCCCTAAGAGCAACAGACATTTGTTGAGAACTCCTTCCTTACAGTTAGTGTTGAGCCTTGGTCATGTCAAAATCACCACGCTGTCCATGAGGCTCTTACACATCCATGTTTCAGATTCCCAGCACAGAAACGATCTTGTACTGAAGCCTGGAATAAGCAACTGGAGCCTCGTATTCAAAGAAACACAGACTTGTAAAATCTAAAGGACTGCTCAAGAAACATGTGCAAATAAGACACAACAAAAATCTAACATTGCAAAAAAAAAAAAGAAGAAGAAGAAAAGAAAAGAAACCAACAGCGCAGCGTGAATGGGACTGTCTCTTAGAAATGGAGGTTATTTCAACGCAGCATTCCAGTGTGGCTAGGACAGAGAAAACTCCCCTGGGCGGTATCACTGCCGACCGCTGCATGGTTTCTGTTGCTCACAGAAACAGTGAGCAAGCGAACATTGGACAGCTGATGCAATGTTAGCAATTGTCATGCTATGGGATATGTCGGAAACACAAATTGGCAATAAAACATGATGGAATGGCATCTATGGACATTTCCTGGATTAAACCAAGTTTTCTGAGTACTATAACAACTATTTCTCTCACTGCTTTCTTTAGGAAAATTAAATTTAAAGAGTAGGTCTTTATTTTCCTTAACTATAAAATGTTGATTCTTTCCTATTTAACAATATCATAAATACAAACAAATCCCTTTCATCTCTGCTACACACACACAACACACACACACACACACACACACACACACACACACACACACACACACACACACACAAAGCTCTGAATTGCATTTATTTGATAGAATAGTGATGGAACACAGCAAGTTGGCAAAAGTGTATTATGCTGACATTAGAAATTATCTTTTAAAAAAACCCTCTGTGTTAACTCTAACCCATTATCAGTTCTAATAAATGTGAGACTAGTGAGCAAAAGGAAATCATAAAAATATCATCTGCCTCAGGCCCGGTACAGTAGCCTAGTGGCTAAAATCCTTGCCTTGTACACAGCGGGATCCCACATGGCCGCCAGTTCTAATCCTAGCAGCCCTGCCTGCCATCCAGCTCTCTGCCTGTGGTCTGGGAAAGCAGTCGAGGATGGCCCAAAGCCTTGGGGCCCTGCACCCGCGTGGGAGACCCAGAAGAAGCTCCAGGTTCCTGGCTTCGATTGGCTCAGCTCTGGCCATTGCAGCCATTTAGAGAGTAAATTAGGGGGCGGCAGATCTTTCTCTTTGTCTCTCCTCTCTGTGTATTTGACTTTCTAGTAAAAAAAATAAATAAACCTTCAAAAGAAATTAAGTGTTCTTTTACCATAAAAAAAGGTAATGGAATGGGAAATGGAGGCAAGCCAATCATTCAGAAACGGGGGAGCATAGCAGATGGAGATGGCAGCTGAAGGCAGAATCATGGCCGGAGAAGAACAGGACTGACATTTGTCATCATAAGCTTTGTAGAGACGA